AATGATACGTAAGTTGATAGTTAGGTGATTTTTGGCCAAATTAAAGTTTAATTTCAAAAAATTGTGTGGATAAAAAAAAGTGTTGCAATATTCAAGTGTTGCATAATTATGAATATTTAAAATAATAAATTAATAAGTTATATAATGAACATTATTATAATAAATTTTATATTATTGTAAAAATCTTGTAAAATTTTAATAATTAGCCCATATATTAAAATAAGAAAAGTTGTTAAAATGTAAATTAAAAGCTTAAACAAATTGTTTTCAGTTTTAATGGATTCTAAAAGCTTTAAGTATGGTAGGCTCATCATCTATACCTAGTAAACTCCATCACGTAATGAACTGGTGTCCATGGTTATCTGCAATATCGTGCACCAGCCCTATACTTCTCCCAGGAGCGAAGTAGGAATAAAAACAAAAATGCTTTTACTATAGCTGGATCATTTAAATTAAATTAATGATCTGAATGTCAAATAAAATATCAAGTCCATATTCAAACATTAGTCAATCAGTTCGCAAAATCTTTTTCGATATAATTTACACACATTATTAAGTTTTTATAAATAAAAATTTCATATTCTTTAAATTATTCAGAATCCCTGTATGACTAATAATTAAAATTAAATAAAGATTAAATTTCTATGGGAATATTTGTAATTTAACTATTGAGCATAATTTTGCGAAGTTGATGTTTGAAGAATGATGTAGTACATAAATCAGGAGAAGGTTTAAAGAAATATAGAACTAGATATAGGTTTTTCAGCGGAGAGAAATTTTCATTTATTTAAAATTTTGTTTTGGGAGCCATCCTTCATGGTATAAAAACAAAAAACTTGTATATGATTTTAATTAATTTTATCAATTGGTAAAGAAAGAAATTGGTAATATTGTGCTCTCTGTTGACATAATATAATTAGACGAGATTTGTATGTTAGAAATGTTTAAGAAATATAAATTACTGATTGCATTGGTAATGAAATATAAATATTTAAGGGCTAATACTTATTTGAAATTAAGGGAGACATCTTACAAATGATAAATTTTACTGTCTATATTGATATTAAGTATTTGATACGATTTTTATTCCATGAAAATTTCATGAGAAAACCCACTCCGTTTTAATTAATTTACTTATTAAAATATGTTTATGAAAAATCATCTAAAAAATTTTTCGATTTTAAAAAAAAAATCAGCTGTAACACAGCTTTAGCAACAAATCAGTAAAAAATTTAAGCAACATGAAAAAATTATCTCACCATCTTTAATGATTTTATTTTTGCAACATCCTTAATTATTGGATTGTGTAGCAACAAATCTTATTTTAATTCAAAGATGCTCAATATCATGAACAATAAAATAGAAAACAGTTTCAACATTGTGGCAGTAAAAGAATTTCGAAAATTTATGGAAACAAAAATTCTGAACAGCAGTATTCAATTTTTAACAAATAAACATTTATTTTGTATTCTTTTTAAGAAATATTCCCAAGAATTTATTGAAAAAAAAAATATTGTAGTAAAATCTGCAAAGAATTTAAGAAAAATCTGTATTCAGCAAACTTGCGTATAAGTATACTACAGTTTTGTATTTTTATTTTAATTTTACAGTAGCTAGATTCTGTAAATTGGTGACTACTGCCTGCATAATAACAAAGTTTTACTTTAAATGTTGCTGAAAAAATTCTGTAATCAATTGCTGTAGCAATATTTTTGTATTGAAATTAAAATGAGAAAATTTCATAAAAATTAAAAAGTAAGAGATAAAAAAATTATTTTCATTTCTTTTTTGCTTTCCTCTCTCTCAGTTTTGTTTATTTAATTTTTTGTATTATTGTGTAAGTATATGAGATACTGAGATACTGTTTGTACTGTATGAATACTGATAAGAGAGGGAGAAAGAATTATTGCAAATACAATTATTGTGTACTTATTTTTTCTCAAAAATAATAAATTCTCTCAAAATTAATTTGAAACTAAGTAAATTAAAAATTATTTTGAATATTAGATAAATTTTATTCGCATATACAACAAAAATAAGAAAAGCAAAAAAAAAAAAAAGAAAATAATAATATCAGTGCGATGATGGAGAAAATAAAGGTTACGTTTATGTGCAGAAAACAGAGATAACAGAAGCAGCTGTTTTTTAATAAAATTAAGGTAATATACGCATTCCGGCACATGTTTTAGGATTTTTTTTTCCTTTTTTCATCATTTTTCTGTTTACTAGCTGTAGTACAATTTTTTTTTCTTCTTTTTCTTTTTTTTTTTAATTTTATCTTATGATATTTTATGTTTTTCCTTCTCAATCATGACTGTTGTTACTCACTAAACAAAAAATACGATTGTATCCCGAATATAGAGTTATAGAATCCTAACAAATGTTTATCAGAAAATTCAGAAAAAAATTTCATGAAAACGTAACGGAAAATTAATTTTATTCTCTTTTGTTATTTTCCATTGTGTACCAAAAAAAAAAAAAAAAAAACAAAAATTGAAAAAAAAATTAAAGGCATCCAAAAAGATACGAAGAGGTCCGTTCGGAAATTTTTTCTATTTTTCTTTTTGTTTTTATTTTGTTGTTTTTTTCTTATGTTCTTATTCTTTGTTTTGTATTGTTGTTCTGCACTTTTATTCTCAGCTCAATAAGGATTGTTGTACCCTATAACTGAAAGAATTTAAGATTTTCATTTTCAGTCATCTTTTGATACTCTCGTAATACGGTCGGTAAAATTTTATATCAAAACCGGTTTTTAATTTTTTTTTTCCATAGTAGATAAAAAATGTTGTTTTATTTTTTTCTTTTCATCTAACAAAAAGGAAAATTTACTTTTCATTTTTTCCTTAAATGGAAAAATACAATGCGAAAATTTTATAATGGAAAAATTTAAACAAAAAAAAAAGAATAGAAAAATGAAAACATGAAATTATTTTAAAATTTTTCTCTAAATGAAAATGAAAATTTTTTCATTTAATTTAAAGCTATTTGAATATTACAGTGAAAATTATTGAAAAAAAAAATGAAAGTGTTTGCATAATATTTAGAAAAACATACTGTTATAAAGATTTAGAATGAAATTGAGAATTTAAAGCAAGAAAGGATATATATATATAAAGTTTACCGAAAAAGGATTTATTTATTTTATAAAGGATGTTTTTGCATTCATGAAATTATTTTAAATGAATTTTCTATATTTGATATATTTAAATTTTTAAGAGGAAATTTATTTCTTCCAAAACTATATTGTAAAGTTTAGATAACTTAAAAAAATGAAATTTTTTCCAATGTACTGTACATTACACATATTTATATACTTGTAATATATAAACAGACATAAATAAAAATTATAATTGTGTATTTTAATTTGATTGTATTGGAATTTTAATTGAAAATTGGTTCTGGTTTTTTTGTTATGAAAATTTTAATTATGTCATTATAAAAATTTCATTGAAATCATATACAAATAGAAATTATTATAAAATGACTATATTTTCCAATGAACATTTTTATAAATTAAAATAAACATTATTAAAGTATTTAAGTAAAAATTTTAAGAAAATTTAAGTAATTTTGATAAAAGGACATAATATTTTGTATTCTCTTGTATTCATTTCCATTTCAATATTGAAAAACTATAATCATAATTATTATTAATAATAAATGAAATTATATTAAAATGAAAATTTCATTCTCTTTTATTATTTTATTAAATATCCTTAATTTGATATTTTGGTTTTCCAATTGGTTTTTCTAAAAATAAAATAATAATTGGATAAAATGTTATGAATGTTATTTATACACAAAGATAATGCACAATAAAGTTTAAATTATAATTTAAATTAAAATCTAGAATATTCAACAGAGGTTTTAAATTAAAATTTTCTTTTGAATAATACTTGAGAATAGTAATATTTATTCTTCATACAAAACAATGAAATTCATATTCAAAAGTAAATCAAAATAAAAAACAATACAAAATAATTAAATTTAAATAATATGAAATCAAAATATAAATTATATTTAGAAATAAAATTTAATATTCATATAAAATATTATAATAATAATAGTATATAGGCTATTATATACTTAACACAATAACACTATATACTGACTAAATTAAATTTTATACAGTACAGTTCATACAAGATTTTATGGAAAATACATGATGTAAAATTTATATTAAGACATAAATTAATGTTAAAATAATTTTGTGTTATATTGCATACAAGTTGCATACATGATATAATATAACAATAATTGTGAATGTGAAAATTATTTTTCATTAAAAGAACTTACATTAAAAAATGTTGAAAACACATATTGGCATGTATAATGCATTGTAATTCAAGAGTACGACGTACATATTATATGAATTATAGTATTAAAATAGTAATTGAGTAATTAATAGTAATAACTAAGAAGAAAAGAGTCACATATACTATAATTATAATTGATAATTATACTCTAACAATCATAATATAATTAAAAAGTGAAAAGAAACAAAATAATATATTTAAAAATTTAATAATTAAGGTGTTTAAAATAAACGAAAATAATATTTTAAATTAATATTATAAGTATATGGAACAAAATATTAAAAAATAGGATATTTGATTCAAATATTTTAAAAATTACAATAATATAGAAAGAAAGCAAAATAATTGAAAATAATTGTGAATAATTAATCATTAAATATAATAATTATTGTGAATTGTTATAAACGTATATAAAATACAATAATTTATGAAAGAAAAATTTAAATACAAAAATGAATATTCTTAATTAAATAATTTAAGTATAAATAAATATAATTAAAATAATTATTTAATTAATTAAAAATTCAATATAAATACACATAATTTGAATCTAATATACATACGTAAGCACATTATATACCCTAACTATAGTATATAACATAATAATATTTTATTAATGTACATAAATCTAAGCACATTTTTTTAATTAAAAACTAAATAAAATATTATATAAAAAAGTATATATATATATATATATATATATATATATTTAATTGTTAATTATTGAATAATATTATAATTGATAAATTGAGAGAATAAAAAGGAATAGAATAGAAAAATGTAAGTAAAATTTAAAAATTTCTTTTTATACCCCATACATAATACGAAATGTATAACAATATTGAATTATATATTTATATTTTTAACCTACTTTCTTCAACACAACCTATATTTTAATATGTATAGTATAAATAATATTATAATTTTTGTTATAATTCTATATAATGAAAATAAGTAAACATATAAACTGGGACTGTATATACTCGTAATGCAATAAATAATGTAATGTAGTTCTAATAATAACATCATGTACCTATTTATATTTGTATATAATTTCATTATAATGCTGACCTTTCTTAATTTGTTGAGAGACATAGGTACAGTAAAAGGTGTAGTGTGGTGTGGTGACTACTGTGAAGAGAATCTCATATTCTTATATTCTCTTACTACACATTTATTATAATTAAATTATATGTATTAAACATAAATGGTCGTACATTTTCAAACTCTGAATCTGGAATATTGTTTTTTTTTGTGTTATTTAATTTTTTATTGTTATTATTTTGTTTCAGACAATTAATTAATATTTTGTATATATATACGAATATAATGTAAATATACAACATTAATGTGTTATTCAGATGGGGGGAGAGAGAGAGAGAGAAAAAGAAACAAAAACGAAACCAAATTTACCACATAATACTACTTACTTATATTAATTTGTTAATATATGTATGTTATATCATAGTATTATGTATGTTACATTCATACACACATATTGATATAAATAAATGTATAACAATTACCCTTCTAATTTTAATAAAGTAATTCAAATTTTTTTTTGTTTCTTTTTATTTTATTGTAAATTTTTATTTTTATACCCTGCACTTCGTGAAGGGTATATTAACTTTGGTATGGAGTTTGTAACTACTTGAAGGAATCATCTGCGGTATGGACATATATATATATTCTTGCTCAGCGTAAAATTCTGCGTCGATTTAGACATGTCCGTCTGTCCGTCCGTCCGTCCGTCCGTCCGTCCGTCCGTCCGTCCGTCCGTCCGTCCGTTCGCACGATAACTCAAAAACGAATAATGCAATCGACACCAAACTTTCACAAGTTTTTTCTTTTGTGCCAAGGACGAGCCCTATTGTTATTGGACTAATTCGGACAACGGGTTCGGGTAGCTGCCATACAACTCAAAGAGTTTATTTTAAATATTTCAAAAACTAATAAAGCTATAAATATAAAACTTTGTATACATGTGTCCAATTATATTCTACACATGCTCTAAAAATTATAATGGGATAGCTGCACCGGTTCGGGTGGCTGCCATACAACTCCAACAGCAAATTTTTTATATTCGGCAAAATAATAAAGTCAGATTCATAAAACTTGGCAGTCATGTGTCCAATTATAGGTCAAATATACTTCTGAAGTTTTAGAGGAATTGCTTTACAGGTTCGGGTACCTGCCATACAACTCCAGAAGCTAATTTTAAATATTTGGAAAAATAATAAAGTCAGATTCATGAAACTTGGCAGTTGGATGTCCGATTATAGATCAGATATATTTGTGAAGTTTTAGAAGAATTGCTTGACAGGTTCGGGTACTTGCCATACAACTCCAGAAGCTAATTTTAAATATTTGGAAAAATAATAAAGTCAGATTGATGAAACTTGGCAGTTGTGTGTCCAATTATAGGTCAGACATATTTCTAAAGTTTTAATGGGATTGCTTGACAGGTTCGAGTAGCTCCCATACAAGTCTTAAAGCTTATTCTTAATATTTGGAAAAATAATAAAGTCAGATCCATGAAACTTGGCAGTTGTGTGTCCGATTATAGATCATATATATTTGTGAAGTTTTAGTGGAATTGCTTGACAGATTCGGGGACTTGCCAAACAACTCCAAAAGCATATTTTAAATATTTGGAAAAATAATAAAGTCAGATTCATGATACTTGGCAGTTGTGTGTCCGATTGTAGATCAGATATATTTGTGAAGTTTTGATGGAATTGTTTGACAGGTTCAGGTACTTGCCATACAACTCCAAAAGCTAATTTTAAATATTTGGAAAAATTATAAAGTCAGATTCATGAAACTTGGCAGTCGGATGTCCAATTATAGGTCAGACATATCCGTGAAGTTTCTACAGAATGACTTCACAGGTTCGAGTAATTGCTACACAATAACGAAAGGTGCAGGGTATTATTCAATCGGTTTATACCGACTGAAACGTTTTTACTTGTTATTATACACTTAGTTACATATATAATATTCTAAGTTTATGGTGTATCATCTTATAAAATAACACTTATGTGACAAAATGTTATAACTCAAAATAATCGATATTGAGAAAATTTGAGAGAAAATGTTTTTGATTTTGAAAATAAAGGAAAGTAAAATCCAAAATAATTTTCCCGATAGAATACGTTGATTCTTAAATCTATCTATTAATATATATATAGATATATATATATATATATATATTGATATCTATAATATATATATTCTATATTTTATATAGAAGATATAGATAAGTAAACACTTGAAATTTTTATTAATCTTAAGACCTGAGAAATCGAATTTTTTTAAGTCAATAAACTTTTGTCGCAAGGAGATGATATATACATATTATTGTATATTGTAATATATTTCATAATGTATATAATAATGTACTATATGTATATAAGTATCTTATGTATGTATACCACATTTTATTGTTTGTATAGAATATAGACTATATAGAAATTAAAAAAGAAAAGAATTAAGAAGAAAAACTGCGAAAATTTTTCGGTCTTTTTTTTCTTTTTTACTTTTTTATGTCATCTTCATTAGGTTAATATGAATTAATATGCTATTCAAAATTATTTATACATATATGGCCATGTGTATGTATATTATGTCAACATAATATTATATATAAAATTGTGTATGCATTATGTAAGTATTATAAGGAACAGAGTGTAAAAAATTACCGACAATGCCTTTATAGTAGAAAATAATGAAGAGGCATTGGTACATAAATTTAATATACACATTATTATGTATACGTATGCAAGAACATGTTAATATACATAATATATAAATATACATTTTATACAAGTATGCAAGTATAGTATAAATTTCAGTATTCTATACAAAAATTTTAATACGAAATAAAAAAATCATAAAAATAGAAGAACAAAAAAGGAAAAGAAGAGAAAATGAAGAGAAAATATGAGAAGAAAAAAAAATTAAAAAGGATTTCTGTTAGAATTTTTTTTTTTTTGGTACTTTTTTGTTTCCTTTTGTTTTTATTTTTATTTCACTCCATCGTTCTTCTCCAAAAATAGTAGTAGCGCTACTAGTACATAGTTTGTTTATTATTGTTATTATTATTATGGTGATTGTTGTTGCTCTCTTGTTATTCATTTTTTATATTGTTATATTACTATATCCGCCATATTATATTCAACTGTTCTTAAGCGTTTTATATTATTATTTGCGAAAAATTTCATATTTTCTTGTTCTTATTTTGTATTTTTTTTCATTACTTTATTATTTGATTTTTTGCCGTTTTTTTTTTTTGTTTATTATTTTATTATTTTTTTTTCTGTTATCTTATATTTTCAACATACACTATAATATAATGTAAAAAGATAATATTTTATGAATTCGTTTCACGGTTTTATGGATCTAAAATAAATAAGCAACAACAAATAAACAAAAAAAAATAGTAACTGTATACATAATATACAAATTTACTTATTATAGTATAACAAATATTATACAATGTTATAAATAATGCTATATTATGTTAAAGTACATACAATAATAAATTTTGTGTACATATATTATATAATAATATAAGTGTGTCAGTATGTTAAGACGCTAATAATAATAATAATAATAAAAACAATAATGAAGAAAATAAAATTAAAATTATAAAAATACTAGGTTAAAGTATAAAAGAATTCTTATATTTCTTATACACATATAATGTATGTATACATTAGTATATTTTTGAGAATAAAAATAATTTTTTCTTGTTATTTTAATTTCTCACAATTATAGACCATACCTATACTTTTTGTCTGTATAAATTAGTATTAAAATATGTATACTATATACTAATGTATGAGAGTATATTTTGAAAAAATACTCAAAAACTTTTTGTTTATTTTGCAGTATGATGCTCTTTCTATCTTTTAAAAGCAAATATTTTTATTTTTGTACTTCTCTGGTTGAATGGTATACTTTAGTATAATATGTGCTATAAGTACATACTATACATCATATTATTACATGGGATGTGTATGTGTATACAATATGTAATAATATGAAGTAAATGAACTAATAATTTTAAAAAGTGAATTCCTATAGGTATATTTTACTTGACGATTACATTGTATGAATAATTTTTGTAAAAAATAAATTAAAATAATATGCATGTATGTAAATTGTAATTTATATAAATTAGTAGTTTACGTAAAATGTTAAATAATCATTATGAATAATTTCATACCGGATAAAAGATGTCCGAAATGCAAAATATAAGGGAAACATTTTAGGCAATTAAAAAGTTATATAGGAAAATTTCCTATTTCCTAGTTATTTGGGAAATCTTAAATTTGAAATTCTCTTAAAAAATGTAATTTTTTTGCTACATTTTCTCTTATAAAAATTTCTCGTGTATTTGAACTATAGGTATAGTATATGATAGAGCGTGTAACCTGTATATAAATGAGCTATCAAATTTCTGTAAGAGCGAAAATGTGTTTAAATAATCGCCCTCTGATACAAAGGCCCACCCTTATAACTAAACTAAATTAATTAGTATCTTTAAATTATCAACTTAAAATTTCTCCTAAATTTATGCAAAATTATATGGTAAGAAAAATATATTTCGGTAAATTGTTTTCTTTATTTAGATTTAAAGGTTTGTACGAGATTACGATTTCTAAGTTTAAATTTGCTAAAGAGAAATGTGTAAAATTATAAATAATTGGTTTGATCGTCTATACATTTTTGTTATTAAAATTTACTCTTTTACCACATTTTACTATTTCTATTTT